TGTCTAGCGCACGGGACCATCGGATTTGTTGGTGACGATTTTGGCTAAGAGAGTGAGGGAAATAGGCTTCGTTGTTAATTGGTTAAACGAAGGTTGGTGGACTAGGAAGGGTCTTAGCCGCCCTCGAGAGAAAGTAGTTAGTGGGAGGAAAGTTGCATCATACGTGAGAAAAACTAACTTTCCCTTGTCAATCCGTAGTAGACAATGGTCTTTAGAAATGAGTCGGAAAACAGATGTTTTGTTCGGTTTGAAGGATCTCGACTAGGAAATTCCTGAGATTTATGGAGGGTACTTGAGAATATGGGATGCGCAGTAAGTATCCGAAGACATCTGGTTGCCATCTTGCCCGCGGTGTGTGGCGTGGTCTAGGTAGAGTGTTATGCGACGTAACAGCAGCCATAACAATCGAATTGTGTTTCCGTTTACTGTCTCATCTTGTTGAACCGTCTATATATAGGCGATAATATTGGGTTGGCAACTAAGTGATTGCAGATTTTGTCATTAGGTGGCATTGACAAAATCCGCAATCACTCAGTTGTCAACCCAATATGTACATACAAAATTTAAAACATACATTCAAAATATGTAGTCGGTTGTAGTGAGCGGTCCGTTTGACCGCCCGGTAAAATATTTTAGCTATTCGTAAAATGAATGCAATCAGTACAAAGAAAAGGCTACTTCAAGGTTAGATGATAAACAAAATCAGTAATACCAAATAATAACAGCTGTTACACCCGTAACTCTTGTCATAAAATAATCCATCCCTCGATCAAGATAGCCACCAGCTGTCAAGACATATCAACTTAGGCCTATGATAATCCTAAGGAACCGCCACAAAATCTAGCATTTTTTACAGTCAATTGTTACAAGCATTGTAAACGTCGAGAAGTTTCTTAGGGTTATTGCTTATTGCGATAAATTACGGGAAAAACATAACAACAATGTCTAATCCAAATGAAGATTCGTTACACGTCCCTAACCCTAATCATAATGTGAACCCGACATATATATTGATATTCTCCTCGACATGACAGCATAAAAAGACTAGAATAGAGGAAGGTGCTTTTAATTGCATTAATAAAAATAATTAATGAAGTTACTAAAAACAAATATATGCACATTTTAAAATAGCTTTCGACACTATTAAGCTTGGCCACTCTTAAATGTAGTCTTACTCAGCGACTACTATAAGTGTTTATTGCAAAATATAAAACAGGCAAGCTTGCAACTTTTGAATTTTAAAGTTTTACAGCAAAGAAAGTACCTCCAAGCTAAAAGACACAACATTGATTTGCAAAAGAGTAGTTAAGTACGATCAAAACAACTGGGGACATAGCAGCCAAGGGGCTTACGTAGCAGTAACAAGGGCAAAGGAGAAGATATACATACTATTTATTGGCTTAATACGACACTCAATATTTTATAACATTCAATTAAATACTTTATTAATAAGGAACATAAATAAATAGTAGGGGATGTTATTATACAGATGACTTGGTGATGTCAGGAAACATAAAACATACAAGATACAATTGATGAGTTATAGGAATACTGTATAAAAACCCATATTGAAGTGAATGCCAGTAAGATAAAAATATTAGTATACAGCAAAAGAAATAATAGGATAAGAATGAGAAAAATTAAATAGAACGGTGAAGTGGAGATATATTTTGAATGTATCATTTATAAAAACAGGCACATTCTAAATATTGTAGTAACAAAGAGCTCTGGCTTTGGAAAGAAATAAGAAATATTTCAAAAATCTGGGACTATACGATGACTCCTGGCATAAGAGAGGCAGCCTTATATCAATTAGGAGGAAGTAGAAGAGAATTAGATATATTTAATATAATATTTGATGAAATATTCTGGGAAAATATTGTAACCGAAACTAACCGGTATGCAGATCAAATACGAGCGAATCCACGCAGAACACGAGAAATCGACGACACTTGGTTTTTGGACATTGTAGATTCTAACGAAATTAAAAGATATTTCGCATTGTCCATAATAATGGCACAAGTAAAAAGAACCAAGAATACAAATGAATTGGTCGAAGAGGGCTATTATCGGAACGCCGATATTTAGAAAACCAATGCCCTTGAAAAGATATTTGCAAATTACAAGGTGTTTGCATTTCGCAAACAATAATCTGCTTACCAATACAGATAAATTGAGCAAGATTAAACCTGTGATCAATTTTTTGAACCAAAAATTTAAAGAAATATATATAATGAAAGAAGACATTGCTATTGATGAATCGCTCATGAAATTCAAGGGGCGCCTATCTTATAGGCAATTTAACCCATCAAAAAGGACAAGTTGTGGCGTTAAATTTTATGAATTGTGTGAGTCCGATTCAGGCTATTGCTATGAATTTAAAATACAGGGTGGTTGGTAACTGGTGGTACAAGCGGAAAGGGGGTGATTCTACGGAAAAAAAGAAATCGAAAATATACAACAAAAATTTTTTTTCTTTTTTTTTTTTAATTTTTCCATTGAGACAACAATCTACAGTGAGATCCGTTATAACGAGAAGTGATAAAGTGCATGCGTACCAAGTTCAAAGTCGATTTTCTCGAAAACAAAGCCTCTGTATTTTGGACCAATCGCGGGGAGACGCAATCGCGAGGAGAGACGTCAACGGAAGTGGTAAATTCCCGTTACGATTATAACAATCGACACCACGAATTGATCGATCCCCTGATTTCGGTTAGGATAATAGGGGTGATTCAGCTAGTATAACACTGTGATTCACAGAATTATAAATTATATATTTCCAACACTTAAATTACACTGTTGAGTAGGTATAAATAGATAACAACTTGTCGCACGACGATAAGATAAATATGCACACTAGAGCAAGGCTTTTATAATTGAATTTAGTATGTTAGTGGACGTAGCACTGTAGGATATTTAATAGAAAAGATCTCTATTAAGTAGCGTTGTGCTTAGACTTAGACGTTAGGCGTTAGATTTTGTACTGTTGTTGACTTTTCTAGTGTAGACTGTTCTAGTGTAGAACAAGTAAAGTAGAGTGATGATGCTGTGTCGGAGGAAAGCTAGCGATAGGTGTGTCTAGCGCACGGAACCATCGGATTTGTTCATGACATTTTTGGCTAGGAAAGTGAGGGCAGTATACATTGCTCCTCATTGGATAAACGAAGGTTGGTGGACTAGGAAGGGTCTTAGCCGCCCTCGATAGAAAGTTGCTAGTGGGAAGCATCGTACGTGAGAAAAACTAACTTTCCCGTGTCAAGCCGTAGTATACAATACTCTTAAAAGTAGCGATTTAGAAAAAAGATATTTGTTGGGTTTGAAGGGCCTTACCTAAAAAATTCCTTAGATTTACGATGGGTCCTTAAGACTATTGAGGGTACGCAGCAAGGATGAGCGGACATCTGGTTTCTGTCTGGCCCGCGGTGTATGGCCTGGTCTAGGTAAAGGGTCGCCCGACGTAACAGCCTCAAACGAAAAATTTTTATTATATATTTCCGACTTCTTTTTTCATAATGTACATGATAGTTTTGGAGAAATATTAAATATTAAAAATTGCAAAAATTTTAAACGGTACAACCCGAAGAGACGAATCGTGTGTATTCATTTGTTGCACGAATCGGAATAATTTCCTGTCTTATTTATGATAAGTCTTGGTGTTTGGAACAGGAACCGGGAAACCGTTGTATTTGCCGATCGGCAATCTCCAGACAGTTGTTGGTCTTTTACAGACAGTTCTTTAAACTAACAAAGAGCGTCGGCCGCTAATTTTTTAAACTTCCGCGTCTGGCTTTAACTTTCTATATAACAATCCTTTAAACGGTTTAAACGTTTGCGTATTCCGGAAAATTTAGAGGAATCAACGAAAAAGGAGCACGCACGGGCATAAATCGGCGAGCCGTGCTCGGTTCGCGTCATTGCAAAGTATTCGGTCATTGCCGGATCATCTGTCATCTGCGGTTGAACAATTAGAAAAGTTCTAAATGCCTATTTGCCTTCACTCCTTGTAATCCTTGACTAGATTTCATACACGCGCTCGGTATATCTGATTATAATCATTTCTCGTGTATTGTTTCATTATTGAATTTTGTTTTAAATAAATTTTGATTATGAAATTGCGACGTCGTGAGTGGCGAGATCATTTCTCGCCAGTTTTAACTCTCCGTTTAGCGTATCGTCGGAGCTCTGACGTGTCCGTCCACGAAAAAATTTCTAACATGTACTATAAAAAACATGCATTCTTTGAATAGAAAATAGTATAGTACCTGATTACTGTTTCCGAACCTTTTTGCGAGTGGCCTTTTTGCGCATGTAACACAAACACCAGACGATTGGTCCAAACACCTAGAGACAGCGCAGAGGTATTTGAACGCAACCCCCAGCAGAAGTACGAATGTTACTCCGTTCCAGCTGTTGTTTGGAACGCGGATGAGAATGCGGGATGATCCGCAGATCAGGCAGCTGATTGAAGACGAGTGGGCCGCGATGTTCCAGGAGAAGCGAGATCAGTTGCGCGTATCAGCAAAGAAACGGATCGAGGAGATTCGAGCTGAAAACAGGCGGACGTTTAACCAGAGACGTAATGAGGCGACAACATACAAGACGGGAGAACTAGTGGCAATCGAGAGGACGCAGGGCGGTTCTAAGCTAAAGCTGCAGTCGAAGTTCCTTGGGCCGTAGCGCGTGGTGAAAGTTTTGGGGAATGACCGTTATATGGCACAAAGAGAAGGCGAACACGAAGGGCCGCGAACGACCTCCACGGCGGCTGATCACATGAAATGGTGGAACGCTGTTGTAACGTCAATGCACAGCAGAGACCAGGCCACACACCGCGGACAGGATGGCACCCCAGATGTCTGCAGATTCTTGGTGCGCACCCTCAATAGTCTTAAGTACCCACCAGGGCTCTTGGCATTTTCATAGTTAATGTCCTTCGAACCAAGCGAGTATTTCCTGTCTTAGATTTCCCTTTACTTTTATTGTCTACCACGTGTTAGCTTAGAAAGTTGGTTTTCTTCACATCTGGTATGTTCCGTTAGCAACTTTCTCGCGAGGGCGGCTAAACCCTTCCTGGTCCACCAACCGTCTTATTATCCAATCGGAGACGGTGTCTACTGCCCTCACTTCCTTAACCAAAATTGTCATCAACGAATCCGATAGTCCTGTGTCCTTAGACACACTCACCCCTAGCCTTTCTCAGACATAGTATCGCCAGAAAAACTCACTTATTCTGTATCCTTAGAATAGTCAATATATCTATATCGGTCTCTATCCTTATAACAATCGCGTACTTAACGTATTGTTGTAACTAAATCTTACATAACGTGGTTGGAGTGAGTTGTGATTTATGTTAATTCAGTGTGTGTTACATTGTGATTGCTGAATTAATAATAAAGTTCAATTGAAACAAAGTTAACAGTTGTGTTACGACTCAGCTATTTTATTTTCACCAACCAACCCCAAAAATTACGTGACACTGTCGTAGTCAACGACGCGAGTGAAACTAGCGAAGATGAGCACATCTGAGGGCAGATGTGATTGCTAGTACGGCAGAGTGTAGTATCATGGACGAAGGGTCTAGCGAGAGGGGGGGGGGGGGGGGCGTGCGAATTATAAACAAGCGGTTGCTGAGCATGTGCGTGGTGCGGCTAAAACAAAAGATATAAGGTTAAGACAAAAGACAGGGGGTTGCTAAGGGACGATAAACGAATTAACAGCAATATGAATTGAGAGGCCAGAGAGTGCGGGTTGCGTTGTTGAGATAGTGTTGTTAGCGTTGTGAAGAGAGAGTTGAATCTGTGTTGACGAGAGTTGTTAATTAATTATCTAGTTGTCTTAATTATAATACATTTTTGCGATTAGTTCATGTTAAATAATCATTGTTTTCTGTTTAATTAACATCTGTTTAATCCATTTATTATTAATAAACTAATTATAATAGTTTATGATACTACAATATATTTAAATCAATGACTTTATGTACATCTGTATCAAAAAACTGTATCAAAATCATTCACGTATATAGTGAAATCATTGACGTTGATGTTTGTATTAAAAATCATCTTATATAGACATATAAAGTGATTCAGATAATATGGGAAGTACGGAGGCCGATTCACCACACTAAAACGAGGAGAAAGGTTTATATAAATATTTACCCAATATAACCAGGGTTTCGAATGACAGCTTATTTTGTGTTTTAGCATGTATTTTTTCACAGAAATGCGACGGAATTGGTGGTTGGTTTAGCGCTTTTTTACGTTGTTTGAGTATCATGTAAACATTGTGTTATGTTAACGTACAAGCTACATTCACTGAATCAGAGTCTGTATGGGAAACGATTTTCGAATCGTCGTTTGCTTGAGAGGAAAATGTTACAAACAATAAACGAGCGTTTTCGAAATACCCGTTCTTAGAGGAAGCTTACAACAAAAGGAAATGCGCGTGTCGGTAAAAATGTTAGACAAGAACGAGGTTAAGAAGTACGTCGGGGGGGGGGGGGGGAAAAAAAGAGGAAAGTAAAAAGTGATATGCAGCTTGGTAGAGGTTCAAAAGAAAAGGCTGAGGAAATTATGAAAGGAAAATGTCTGACATAAAATGTGATGATTAAGAAAAGGGGCATGAAACATGTTATATAAAATATATCTTATATGTTCTATTTTGGGTCATATATATGTCGGAGATAAAAGAACATCGGTGCCTTCCCTTCGGAACTTCAGGAAAATCCCTTAACACCGTAATCTAGATTCTATCATAGGCATAATTAAACAATTGTCGTCTTTTAATCCGATTGTATTTGTTCGAGATTTGCGATAACGAGCTCGGGCTCGAGGCGTCAATAAGTCGCCGAACGTAGCCGCGGTCACGGGATGAACGCTTTGTCTAACAAAGGTATGGAGTAATTCTATAGCTCTCCTTAAAAGAAATATTTGTGGCGGCACGCGACAGTAAACATTCCAACGGTTTCTGTCTCCTGGCTCGCCACACGCAGACCCTATTCTTCGAGTAAGGTGATTGCCAGATGTCGATGCGTCTCCGCAGTACATGTTCAGCTAGCCTGAGGAGCCGCTATAAATCTTAGGATTTAGTTAACTAAAGTCCTCCAAACAAACAGTCTTTGTCCCAGCTACGGGAAGATAGGAGAGACCTATTTTTCAACGAACGGCGTCTCCAACTAGCAACTTTCCCTCGAGGGCGGCTAGCATCTTTTTCTAACCACCC